GCGCGCGCGCGACAGAATTCAGCTTCTTCGAGTTGAGAGGTCACGGTAAGCTTGGTAAACACCGCCGTTTTTCTTTCTTTTTTTTTTCTTGTGGGGGATTAAACGCGGAACGAATTACCCGTCAAAGGGGTAATTTTCGAAGATCGTCAGCCAGACAGTTATACACGATCATTAAGCTGCGACGAAGAGGACCAGCCGGTCAGCCAGCAACATCGACGTAGAAGAAGACACGACAAGCGGAGAAACGCACATCGACAAGGCGAAAGAGGTTATTACACATCGTTCGTTACACATCGAGAATCTAACACCGTGAAAAATAGTTCCGTCCCTTTTTCGCATACTGGATACACTGGACGATCGTCTCCTCGATTATCGTATCGAGGAGATCATTGGAGATTGGCTTGTCAGTCGAGATAATTTCTTTTTATTTTTCTGTTTTTTTCTCTCTTCTGCGTAACTCCGTGTAAAAGTACGAAAATAACACGAGAGAAATATCATCCAACCGCCCCGAAGTGTTGCGAATTCAATCCGTCGAAAGCCATTAATTTACCTCGCTATCTTCCCTCGATCGAACGAAGGATAGGAGACAGACAGGAGGAAAAGAGAACGCGAGAGAAGGAGAGAAAAAGAGAGCGTGAGAGCGGGGAGGGGGGAGGACGGGGGAAAGAGAGAAGAGGGATGGATAAAACTGAGAGCGCGCGAGGCAGGAAGGAAGGAGGGAAGAGTAGCGCGTTGTCAGCGATTTTCGCGAAACTTTCGGCCGCCGAACTTGAACGACGAAGCGGGCTTTGCTGTGGTTTCCTGCGCGGGAGAAAGTTCGCGGTTTTTCACGACGAGGGGATAAATGTGGAGAACGAAGCGACACCCACCACCGACCGCTGTTTGCGTTCGCAGAATAATGCCGTTTGCTCAGCGATAATTAATACGGAATATCAGATTCGGGGAATTTGGGGCGTGATAATTACGCAAGCATAATAATTACGTCAGTCACGTGTAATGAATCAATATTACAACGAAAGAAAGCAGCGACGTACGTGAATTTCGGACGTGCAGCGTGAATGTGGGGTGAATGTGCCTCGTGTGTAATTTTGACGGAGTTACGCAGAACAGAGTTCGCGACAGTTCGCAATATGCTTGCAAAAGAAAGAAAGATCACTGACACTCCTCTTAGCGATGTTGTTGCGAGAAGAGGCGATCCCTGTAAGGGGATCCTCAAAACTGATCGATGCAATTAAAGTACTGCGGCACACGCAAGAAATGAAAGTGAGAATAAATCAGATCAAATCGCGTCTCATCGAGAAACAAGTTGAGAGAGACAGCAAGGAAAATAACAGGGAGAGAAAGGTAAAAGGGAAAGAGACACAGAGAAGAGATTTGAGAAAGAAATCGACGTGATTTTTAAATTCCTGAATTTTCACGCTGAGCGGGATCCGACCGAGCGCGATTCGATGATGTAAATGACCAGGAATTTGAAAATCCGTGAAACGAAAAGTCTAGGAATCTGACAAAGTTCGGGGATCATTTTCGGCGATAGAGAGGCTGTGTGTGCTCGGAAAAGATCGAGTCTGTAGAGAGAAACGTTTGACTGCGTAGCGAAGAAACGAGTACAGACAGAGAACTGTCCGCGCGTTTCAAGAGAAAGACAGAAAAAAGTGGACAGATTCAATAATCATATTTCTAGAACGACCTTTTCCAACGATTTTGTTTGATCTTTAACCGACCGAGTGACTCGCTGTCGTTATTAACATTTCCAAGCAACTCGCCTGGATCGTTTGAACTTTGTAAAATCTAACGTATCTGCTAAGACTCGTCCGGATATTTATACGACGGATCTCTGTCCTCCATTCGAATTTAAACCGTGCTGTGGAAAGAGAAAGAGAAAACAGAGGTACGTAAAATTTGCCATAAAAATATCGCTTATCGAGATGCCCAGTGTAAAAAAATGAGAAAAATGCTCGATAATCTCTTGTCGCTCGATCGCTTTCATGTCACTCAGCCGGTTATGAAAAACGAACTTGCTTTATCGTTAATTTATTATTTCACGTTGACGAATTGAGTGCACTACTAATCCGTTATTCGACACTTTACCCTGCCGTTTGAGGGTTAAGGAAACGCTACAACGCTACATCGGAATTTTTCCCTTGTCCAAAATAAAAAAATACACATTTTGCTTCTCCGTCTCCCGTACAAAAATGGTTTTATATATACTAAATGTCTTTCTTTTCTTTTTTTTTTTTTTTTCTTTCGATTTTACGTCTGCTCCCATTTTTTTGCGACTTGCCTCGTACAAACTTCAAGTATTGCGAATATATATGCATTGACGAAACACGGGGTATCTCCAGAATTCCCGAATTACAACGCTCTGATAAATACCGAAAAGCCGATGCTCTCTTGCGTGAGAATTTTATTAGAAAAATCCAATCACGGCGAATGTTAACAGTTAACAAATTTGGCGTATTAATGTCCGAAAGATACATACATATTATGTATACGCGTCACTATATAGAAAATTAGAAAACTGATCGCGCGAAATACCCCGCATAGTAACGAAACCGAGTTGGTGCAAGTCAAATTGAAAACGTTCTCCTTTAATGAGTCAATATCACATGAATATGTGTATAAATACGCCCAAGTCGCACACTGACTCGAACTAGCTGACTCAAGCTACCCATTGTCCATGCATTCGCATTTATCAATGCAACAAAGACAGGAAGGACGCAAGGTCCTAAGAGAGACTAGACGTAGAGTCACGAGTATGAAACAAATGTAACACACGCCATTCACAGCTCCAGTGACTAGATGTGAAGCCGGCACGGTATAATCACGGAATAACAATCGTCTCACGTCCAAACAATCGAACAAACAATCGGATCATTCTCCTTGTAATGACGATTAAATTAGGAGCCGAGCACGTTTATCACATTATAACGATGGCGAATGGCAGAGCGAGAACTACCAATTACCATCTCTCACGCGTTATGGTCATCCTCTCGGATCCCGTTAGCCTTTGCCCTTTAATTATTAATCATAACGTAATGACATTAACGACAATAATAAGAAACTTCCTCCTCCTCCTCCTCCTCCTCCTCCTCCTCCTCCTCCTCCTCCGTCACCGCTCCCTCCCCCTAACCCCTTCCCATAATATTGAAACAGCTGTCGAACAGACCTCTATCAACTACATAACTCAGCTACCGTTTACTTTTCTTGTTTCACGTTCGCTATCCAAAAACACCCGTCTCTCCTAAAAACTCAAAACACGCTAACATATGACCCTTTTTTTTTGTTTTGCTTCTTTCGTCTTTTCTTATATTATTTATCTATATATATACTTATGCGTGTGTGTATATGTATATATAGATATATATTAAGATTCATCGTCGTGACGAGCGAGAGGGGCAACTCGGACGCGCGTTTCGCTCTCTGCGTGTCGTCGTTCTCGAGCGCGTGGTAATTTGCAAGCGATGTTTGCAGCGCAGAGAGCCGCTGTGCTGCGCGCGACCAGATGACGCTGCGTCGTAATTGAATTTTCGATTTCCGCGGAAAGGTGGTGGCCATTAACTATAAAATTAACGACCGCTAACGTGAATTGCTTGCGGGCTTTCGCGCGTCGGCCTCGGAGAGGCTGAACGATGTGTGAATTTCTGCGTCGTCTACTTTTTCCTTTTTCTCATTTTTTTGGAAATATCGCGCTGCATTGTGCAACCATTCCCATCTCTGTCCCGTCGTATTGATCGAATCAGTCAATTAGTCAGTCGGTCGGTCAGTTCCGGTCAGGCATCCGGACTCGAGCCACTAGTTATGTATAAAAGTCAAGCAATCATGAACTTCGAACTGCATCGGAGACGCATCCGAGTCTATCCGGCCTTGATGTGTCTATTGCACGCTTTGACGCGTCGTGTCCGTTCAGAGAGAAAGTAGAACGAAGGATGGCTCGTCTACAGCTAGCGATCCGTAGTTTTATAGTCAAAAGCCGCAAAACGACGTCGTAACGTCTAAATGAAAAGTACAAGTGTTACAAAGACGACTCGCGATTCGTGTAGAAAGGGGCAGCAGTTAATCCAGACTGTCTAGAGGCTAATACAGTTTTCGTGCGACGAGTTCGTCGTAGTTGTTAATTGGCTATCTAATAGGTAAGTTTTGAGGTCCGCGTGTCCCAAGTTTCCAACTGTCTCAGAAGTTTCCCATTCGACAGCCAATAAGTACATCTGACCCTAAGGATGATATTACGCTTGTTGTACGACAGTTTGTCGAATGTGTTCGTGCCGGACGTTATTGGTTGTCGGACACGGGACTCACGGAGTCTCTCGATGATCCTCCGAGAGAAAAAAAAAACGAACTCGCGGAGGAGGACATACCCGTGGAGATTTCCCCGTCTCTCTATCCGAGAATCAATCAGCACGTCCGAGAAGGTCAGCCGTACGACAATGGTGATATCGATTGTTCGCTCTTGAGGAGGGTTAGAGGGTATAGAATAACTAGGTATCCGGTAAAATACCTAGATAAAGAAATCGCGTATTCTTACCGATATAACAACCGAAACAGCGAACTATTGTGTACATATACGTGTGTGTACATGTATATATATAGATGTATGTATAATCCCCGATAATCAATAGTTATTATTTTTATGCTGTTTTTTTCTTTTTTCAAACCACCAAATTGCGCCAAAAATTCTCTGTAACTGTAGAATACCTAGACGAACTACGAATAGAAAATAACGCGGCACCCACGTGGATGCTTCACCCGCTATACCGAATAAATTGATTACAAACTATAACTATGCCTAAACATTCTACAGAACACCTAATTATTCTATAAAACAACGTCATTTCGCACTTTTAACTGCAACAATTACATAAAAAAATCACACTCTGGTCGAGTCAGCATTCTCTCTTTCTCTTTCCCCTCTCTCTCTCTCTCTCTCTCTCTCTCTCCCTCCCTTTTTCTCCTTCTCTCTCTCTCCCCCTTTCTCTCTCTCTTTCACTCTCTCTCTCTCTCTCTCTCTCTCTCTCTCTCTCTCGTTCGTTCACATCACTTTCACCGTTCACATTTCTCCATCGCGAACACCATCGACGATCAATATAATTTTTCAACTTCAAGCCATCTTTCCTCTCTTGCTTTCCTCAAGATCCTCTTCCATTTTGTCAGACGGTTTACTTCTGAATCAGATGGAGAGTCAGGGGGGCCCCTAGATTTATAATTCTTTCCGCGATATTGGGTTATGGGCAATTTTCTCCTCTTTACCGGGAAAGGTATTGATCGATCGGCGGGGTATTCATTTCTCACTTTTATTCTTGATTGAGGATGGCGATCACACACCGACCGTGTCGATTTTTGCGGTGATTTTCGAGTCTCCATTTTTCCTCGCGCTCATCGATGTCGTCAATTTTGGCGTGTCTTCGTTGCATTATACTGTGGGATATCAGAGATGTCTGTCGAGAATTTCTCACGTGTTTATCCAGTTAAAAGAGAGATCGCGACTCCTAACCGGACAAAGTCGAGGAAATTTATGGAATGCCGGATTTGAAGTGTGTACACAGTCGCTCATTGTAAACAATCGAGAGAGTTGATTTTCACGTTTGCTCCGGCAAGCATCTTCCGAACCATTCTCGCCGAACACATCGCTTCCAATTCCAATGTTGCGTTTGGAGTTGATGTGACTTGCGTTTTGGCATTTAGGTTCTAATTAGCAATCTCCGGCTGTCTACATCATCTCGAATGCGCTTAAATTTGCAGTCTTGGATACTCTACGAATCTCCCAATGTCGAATTAAACATTTCCTCCGTCTCGTCTCGAACGAGAGAATAATCCCACCTCTCTCTCTCTCTCTCCCTCTCTCTCTCTCTCTCTCTCTCTCTCTCTCTCTCTCTAGATCATCTCTCTAGCCCCGATTCTCGCTTGTCTATCTTCAGGCAGAATGAAATCCTCGACAGGATCGCTTCCGATTTCCGGTTGCGTCCAAGCGCGGCGACGAGGAGCCCTTCAGGAAGAAAAAAGAAGAGAGAAAAAACAGAACCAACCGTCGAGATCCTCCGGGGAGGAGACCCCCTCGGATCCCGTTCTCGTCGTTCGCGCTTTAAGCAACGATCGACCAATCGACCGCGTCTGGAATCGATCTACGATTGGTCGACACGGCGGCAACGACGCTGATCGCGGCTCCGCGTATTGTTCCTCTTTTTCGCTGCTTTGTCGTTATCTCTGCTACCCCCTTCCTCTTTGTTCCGGGCACCAGGGGACATAGGGCGGATGCGATTTTGACGACGCACGGCGTCACCCTTCTCGCGAACCGCGCGATGCGATAGACTCATTGGAGGCTGCACTTACTTTCGATTTGAGACTTGAGCTCGTTCACCTGCGTTTCTATCGTGTTTCTCAGTTCTGCAACAGTCAAAGCGGAAACTCCGTTATACGTGTCCCATCTCCCCCACCCCCCTCTCTCTCTCTCTCTCTCTCTCTCTCCCTACGCGCGTGTTTGTGTTCTCGTTTCCTTCTTTCTTTGTTTCCCGGAGTAATCACGCGCGCGTGACGCACCTGCGGGAAGCACCGCCACGTCCGCTCGTACTCCAACTCAAGTGGTTCGTGATTCTTCATGAATTCGAGGGAACCGACCTCGGGACTCAACACACGCGTGTCACAATCGACCCTCCGGAGTCCGGAGTGGACGGACGCGTCGATGAGCGACGCAAGTTTATCGCGCGCCACGCATCAGGCCGAATAACAATTTATTAATGACATTAGTGCATACGCGCGGGTCCAGGTACTCCCGCAGGCGGCACTGACAGAAATTGTTTCCGAATCTCTCTGGTGTTGCCACGTCGCATGTACACGCACACGTACAGTCACATACAGTCCGCGGTAATTTCCCCGGAGGGCGGATTTATATTCCTCGATGCATTGCCGCGAATTAGTGCGGGCAAGAATCGCGTCTTCCCGCACCCCCCCTCGCCACTCCCACCCCCACGTCGTAATGCGCGACGGCCGCGTTTCCGGGGTGCCGCGCTTTCGGCACTCCCGCCTCCGCCCCCGCCCCCGCCCCCAAATTGTGCAGCGTGTACGTGCTATTTTTCTTTAAGAGGGTTGGCAAGCGCGGGAGGCTGCGGAGGGGGTGAGAGAAAACTGCGCACGGAGATATGCGCAGAAGATCGATAGATTGACATAATCTCAGGGCCTCGCAAGCCTTCGGGAAACGTATAATTTCTAGTCCAAATTGTCGGGGATAATGTGCGAGGAGCGCGTTCTTTTATTCATAATGCTAGTCAAACAGCCGAATGCGAGCCTGATTCCGAGAGACGACGCTCCCCTGTTCGTCCGACCTTTCCGTCTCTCCCCTTTCACCTAGCCCCCCCCCCCTCCGTCCCGCCACCCTCTCACTCCTCCGTCGGAGATAGATGGAAATATATTCTTGGCCAATAGCGCGCCATATTTGCCAAGTGGAACGGCAATTTTATCCCGCGCGCGCACGCGTCGCCGGCAAGTTTCGTGCGCTACGTACTGGTGAACTCGTCCTCGTCCTCGGCCTCGGCCTCGGCCGCCAGCTCCTCCGGCGTTTTCTTCTTGCGCATCAGAGGATTAGGCTCTTCTTGTGGCATTTCCTGGACCTCCTCTCTTTTCTTTATGTTATACTGCAAATCAAAAGAGAGAGAGACGACGTCTCGTTAGGCGACAATTCGAGCCAGGTCCGTCCGCGCGTCTGAGGGGCGTCTTACGGCTAACGAGATCGTTTCCTCGGCCCGCGAGCCTGCGAACGGGCCGAGAGGTTAATGATAAGGCAACGAGACGCGCGACAAAAGATCAGTCGGCATTGTGCGCGGGCGTGGCATATCTAATTTGCGAGGGACAGCGCGATCGCTCGCGCGCACTATTGGCGCTTTGTCTCTCTCGGTGCTCCCGCGGCCAACAATGAGTTCGATTGCGGCGCGAGCCAGCCGGACGTGTCATAGGTCGTATAAGTACCTGTGTGTGTGTGTGTGTGTGTGTGTGTGTGTGTGTATGGACCCACCGGTATTATTGCCATAAACGGAATGCACGTATCGCGGCTACATCGCCGACTCAGATCTCATTAACACTAGAAAGACCGAAGTAGCCAATTTGGCTCCTCGCGAAATTTAGTCTTTCTCCAAAGACTGAAAAAAATTCAATATAATATAACTAACAGTTTTTTTTGTTCAATAAATTAGTGATATTATTGTTAGAACGTTAAATTTTAATTACCTATACGTTTCGTTTCTTTCCATTTGTTATTTACGAAAAGATATACTTGGATATACAAATTGGCCCCTACGGTCCTTCTAGGGGAATCGTCAAATCCGGTTCTAGTGTTAAGATTCGACGCTCTTCTGCGAAGTAATTTGCTATGCAACCGGTAATAACGCGAATATACCTCTATTCCTCCTCGATTATTAAAAGTCGGTTATTAAAACGCGAGCGCGCCCGATTTTTCCCCCCGATATTCGTCCCGTAAAGATTGTGTCGTGCAATGTAAATTTCCGGCCCGAGGCCGGTGTTTGGAAACGATAGAAGCGAAAATTGCACATTTGCAATCTTGTTCCCGAATCGCGTTCGCTTGACAAGCTGTGAGCTGATGTATTTAATTCTGCCTGACCGTTCACGACCGCTGGTTAGTTCGGCTGAAACGTCCGGTAGCCGGCGCTTTTGCACGGCGATTTCGCCGGACGTTCGTACGGGGTTAACAATCAAGAAAATAACAATCTCCATGTACCTTAATGTCTGACAAGATCCGCGTAAGAGCGCCGGACGCTTCACCTGATGTCGCCTACGACCTTGTTAACTCTTTCCTAAGGAGCATTATTTCGCAACATATTTGCACAAATCAGTCGATGGATCCCACATCCATTAGCTCGCTAAGATTACGCGCGAATGGAGGGATCAAGAAGAGAATCATCGGTACATTCCTCGAATCTGTATTTCGCACCAATCTCTCTCTCTCTCTCTCTCTCTCTCTCTCTCTCGCGCGCGCGCGCGCGTGCAACTCTCAATCTCTCAACGTACACAGCGTTGCGTCGAGGAGACAGATAGCGCGAGGATAAACGAGGACTGTGCCTCATGGCAGCCTCAAATCTGCTGCTCTGATCCTGACGTTAATTAATGCTTCCGCTTGAAACGTGCAACGCGCTGGTACTCGCTCGTCCGCGCCGCCGAGCGTCATGTGCGTTTCTCTCCATACGCGTCCACGTGCTCTCGAGAACTGCTCGGGAACATTATTATGCGCCGGATTATGGCCTCGTGGCGATTTATCAGACGCGCGGCACGACTTCCGACTCGGACGCGCGACGTGGACCGCCGCCTTGCGAAAGAGAATCGGCGCCGTCGGTTTTATCCGCTAATTGTCTTCGCAAATCCGGAAAGTCGCAGCGCCCGCGCAGCCCCTCCGGTCGATCCCGCTGCGCCGAATTCTACGTAGCTTTAGCACGTGCTGCAATTAAGTTACCGGCACTTTATAACCTCGCTCGCACTCGCCGCTGGGCATTAACGTCGGAGAGTTGGGAGAGTTACATTTTAAAAGTTACTTGTTATCCGCTGAAACAGATAACTACGCGCTACAGCTATCCGGTACTCATCGCACTGAGAAATAACTCGTTATCGTTGCTCGAGAAGTAACGAATCGTTACAATTCCCGACGACTCCTTGCCGAAGTCCTTTCTCCTCATTCGTTTTTTTTTCTTTTTTCTTTTTTTTTTCTTTTTCACGGACCGCTCCACCCTCGGTTATTTCGAGTGCACCAGTTCCGCAGCGACAATTGTATTCGTCACCGTTGTCCAAACAATGCAACTGCTATGGTCTCATTACTGTTGCCGTCGTCGACGAAAAAAAATAACGTTGTTCGCCGAGTCGTTCGTTCAAACGAGCAGTAAGCTTGCAAGGGTAATAGCGTTGCGAGTTACATACGTGGCATTTCTCAACTCTAACGTAAAGTTGCCGCAGCGACAGACTGCCGACTTGACGCGCCGTTCTTGGCCACTTGGCTAATCGTTAAGTGGGTATTAACAAAGCGTGTTCGGTTATAAAATGCCGAGAACCTACTTACGTCGCGCGGGCTATTCTTCCGCAGGTTGGCGCGCATCGGAATAAGTACAGGCACAAGTACACATCGCAGTGCGAATGTATGTATTTATTTCTTTGATCATATTGAGAGCACACATATTACACACATAAGGCACATATCGTAATTATTAAGATTAATAATTATCTTATCGCCATAGCTCTTGAAAATACGTCACTATCGAGAGGCGACATCGGGATATCGCTGCGATTGCTCATCATTACTTCCGCGAGTCTTATTAGCCTCCTGCGGAGGCGGGTGACGGAGGAAAGGGTGGAAAACGAGATTACGGTATCTGATACTTCCCGTCTGCGTCATAAATTTCGTAGGCGCTATAGACAGAAGCTCTGATACCGCGCCACCTTACCGACGCAGTGGGGAAGATTGGAATCTGAGATCTCTATCGGGGATTCGGGGTTATAGCAGGAGCCTCCTCCTCAAAGGACGCGTATCGCATTACATTTGATCCTTTGGAGGACCTAGATTTCATCCCCGCTAATTACATTCTTCGACTTTGAGAACACACATCGAGATCGTCGAGTACGAGGGAACGCATGAAGGTATAGATAAGATACATCCCGACGAGGTGAATCGCACAAGGATCTCTTTTTCTCGCTGTTTTTATTTTATTTCATTTCCGGTACGAGCGAGGCTAATTTACACACCGCGCGCGCGCCGCTCGGTCGATCGGCCTCGCGCGCGAACATCGCGCTGTTTTCCATAAACCTACTGTGAATGCAGATCATTCGCGACATCCTCGTCTTAGTAGCATTAAATCAACCGACACTTTGTAAGTTAAGTGGCCTTAACTTCATTTAAAGCGCACGCTTTTAAGTACTTCCGAGACGGTTCGCCTGGTGAACGTCTTAAAAGGAGTCAGCCTGACTCTATTAGGAAGTCGCCATATTGAATGCAGGGACTCCCTACTAGAGTCAATTTGACCCCAGTTAAGTTCAATCTTCTCTCTTCCTATTTCGCAGCCGAGCTCGCGTCGTCCTTTTTTCCTCGCTTCCGTGCCACGTCGGAGATGTCACGCGATGATGATGCGCCGCCTCTCCTCCTCTCCCACCGGACATCATCTTCAACGCTCGCCGGTCGCGCGCTTTAAGGGGACGTCGGTGTGCCGTCAATAGTCGCTGAAATTTAGGTTACGAAGGGCAAAAGGGACGAGTGCGCGCCGCACATGGCGGAATCCGCGGATACGAGCCGAATCGGAAACACCCCGAGTAGCATATATAGCAGTGTCCTAATTGACCTCGTGTTAACGTCACGTGTCACAACAGCACCGGGTTCTTGTGCGCGCACGCACACCTGGTGTGTTTCCACGAGCAATTTACACCGCGCTAATAACTCCTCTTGTTCGCACCGATCGCGCAATTCTTACGTGGAGCAGGCGTGTCGGCCGAGGCAGACGGCCCCGGGCAAATTCATATCGAGGCTCTCAGAGCCGTCGAGGAAACGCGTCAACATTTTCTTTCGCCCCGATACTTCCGCGCGTATGTTACCCGGTAATCGGGTGCGAAGGGATTCATAAATCTGCGCGCTTCAAACCATCACCGCGCATCGGCCTCTGCGACGCGGCGTCTGGCGACACGTCCGACGTCCCCTTAACTCGCGGGCGATCAATCATCTGGATTTTAATTACGACACGGAGGTTAACCGTTCGGTTAACCTCCGAACGCCGATCCGCGACGGCAGCCCTGTCTCAGGATAGATAACATCAGTTTGACAAGATAGACTCTTCTACACGTGCAACTTTCAATCGCTCCGAGGGAGCGATCCGAAAGCATATCATCTCGCTACACGTAGGGTAATTACTCACCGTTCAATCGACGCCTCCTCCCCCCCCCTGCCACCCGGCGCGGCGTTCCTCTGCCGGCAAGAGAGAAAAGTCGAAGGGCTGCTCGGCAGAATGAAGATGAAGGGATGAAAAGTTCCTCCTCCTGGAGGAACTTTCGCCGCGTGACGTCACGGCCCACTTACCGGCGGTGGCGACAATTAGAGCCGTCTTATCGTCCGATGTACGGCTGCATATCGGACGTCGCGATCCGTGTTATAATCAGGCGAAATTGCCCCCGTCCGCGGCTGCGAGGGGGGGGGGAGGGAGCCCGGAATCGGCTGTCGCCTTAGCGCGCGAGAGATCGGAAGGAGAGATCTCTCGGGGATCGCGACCCGGGCCTTTCCTTATCGGTATCTGGTATATCGCCCGTGTTTCACCCCCCGCACGGAGGAAAATATTACTCGCCGCTACACACTCTCTGGTCCTCCCTCTACCTCCTCCTCCCCTCAGCCGAGACTCCCCAGGCCCCCCGGCTGCTCCTCGATCCGCCCGTTCTTCATCTTCGGCGGCATCTTGGCGAAAAATTGCCGAAGAAACGACATTATTGCACGTTGTCGTGATCAATTCCCATCGACGTCGTCGTCCTTGTTGCAGCATCGCCGTATTTTATTATATACTTTATCGAATCATCGCGTTCAACCCCGCTTCTTCCCCCTCTCTCTTTCTCTCTCTCTTGAGCTTCATCCACCTTCGCCTCCCTCATCAGCCCTCGTGCTCGACGTATTTTCTCTCGCTGCTCTCTCGGTAAATACTGTAAGGGTAAATTCGCAGGGAGTAATAGCGATCTTTGTGAGCTACAGCGAGCGAATCGAAGAGAGACGTCCTTTTCTGTAGCCTTCAGACGGCGGAGACTCGACTCTTCATCTTCGTGCTTGTTTCTCAGTTATTTTCTCCCTCTCTCTCTCTCTCTCTCTCTCTCTCTCTCTCTCCCTCTCTCCCTCTCTCTCTCTCTCTCTCTCTCTTGCTCTTTCTCTCACCCTCTCTCCCTCTCTCTCTCTCTCTCTCTCTCCCACGCGCACAATCCAAGCTCTTCTCCGTTCGATCCCGTAGCAGCAGTTCCGACGAACAATAGCACGACAGCGACCACGCGGGTAATAGCGACGACGGAGAAATGAGAAGTACAAAAAGTTGGTCGAACAGAAATAAATTTCTGTTCGCCGCCCGGGGGTGTATACTTAAGAGCGCTAATTGGACTGCAGCGAACCCTAATGCGAGATCCGATAATTGAAGCTCGTCGTTCATTAGACGCGCGTCATTCCGACGCGTTTTTTGCAGTCTTAAACGCGAGAGCTCGGCGCTGCAGCGGTCGACCGGAGTGATATTCGTAATTGGACGAGCATTGCGGGGCGGCGGATTCACCGGGTATCCGGTGTATGAGTCAATATTCGAGAATACGTTGTATCGCCGATGCGACCTCGATGAAATTTTCAAGGAGCACGCGAGCGTACGTCCGAGCGCGCGCTGACATTATCGCCCGATCGAACGTCGCCAGATCGCGCTGAAGAATGCACGAAATCGGCGCTGCCGCGATCGATCGAGCGCGGCAGTAATGTCCCGAGGGCGAAACGGCCCCTCGGAGCACCGACGACCGTTGTTGGATAAATATGCGCGAGCGTTAAATCGACGGCCGATACTTTTTTCGGCGATCGGTTCGCGAAAAACGTATCGGCGATCGTGCAGGCGGACAAAACGCGCGCGGACGCGTCCTATGAATATCAATGAAATCCTGCTTCGTGCCGTAAAAGTACCGTTACGCGACGTTGCGACGTCGCAATAACGTTACGATATTTACACTTTTGCAACAATATCGGCTGTGCGTGGCGCACCACTCCCGTCAGGGGCGAGAAAGAGGAGAGCAGAGAGAGAGGGATAGAGAGAGAGAGAGAGAGAGAGAGAGAGAGAGAGAGAGAGAGAGAGAGAGAGAGCGACCGGCTTCTAAATAAAGCAACAAAGAGAATATTTCCAAATTGCGCAGGGACTCGCAGAGTCTCTGTAACAAAGTCCCACTTCGTTCATTAGTTGAGATAGGAAATCGGATTTGGCCTGACCCGATGCGATTACCATGCCAAAGCCTCTTCTTCCGCTACGCAAGAATAGGGACGCTCTCTCTCTCTCTCTTTCTCTCTCTCTCTCTCTCTCTCTCTCTCTCTCTATTCTCACGAGGGATCACGGCGCGGCGCTGGGCGTCTCAATCTTTCCGCTCGTTTTCGAAGAATCACGTTCCCGCGGCCGAGACGAAAGGATTTAACGGTGGCTCTTGCGCCCTTGATGAAGCGGCCATTAGTGTTAATTATATTTCGTCGGCGGGATCTCCTCTCTGCCGTCTCGCGAATAAAACCGCGGCCGGATGAACGAATGTCGGGTCGTCCGTGAGAGACATTTTTTTATCCGGTTTGCAAGGAGAGAGAGAGAGAGAGAGAGAGGAGTAATGAAGTCGCGGAAACTCAATTCCTTCGTTATTATATCTGTCCAACTTTTAACTGGCATCTTTAAATAGTACTGCCTTGTTACATAATTTCACGGCTTCCTTTCTGTCCCCGCGGGCTTATCCGGATTGACCGATTAGACTCTATTTGATCCCGAGGCTTCGTTCCATCCCGGAGAACGCCCAAAGGATTGCCGGGCTCCTCGATTTTGCGTACTCCCTTAGGTCTTGACATTTTTCGTACGCTGTCTCCCTGTCTCACAGCTCGAGAATGTTCAGCAGCCACTTATCGTCCCGAGACGTATCTCTCCACTTTTTTCTCGATCGCAGAAACTCCTGCTTCGGCGAAGTGACGTGCACTACCGTACGGACCACCGTCGAATCAAGACACCGTCTATATGCGAATCGCAACTGCCGTGATAATGGTTATAACGGTCGACCGCTCGGCCAACCACTTCTGCGTGGAATTACAACTGCAACGCGCGCGCGGTCGGTATGCCACACACGGATCATCAAACGTCCCGCAACGTCGAGCTACGCGCGCATCGTCCCTTCAACGATATCATTTTCTGTTTACGCTCGAGATAATCGTGTTTTCACTCCAATTAATGTCCCGCGAAATTCGCGACCCCGTGACAAACATCGGCGAAAGGAAACACATAAATCCGTCGCCCGCGTCAGCCGACAGCCGCGGACAGCCAGTGCGCGTTGTATATATACTTTTTTATTCCGCATTCCTTTCATCGTTTTCGAAAATCTCCAAGCGGAAAGAGTCCGCGAGAAGTCCCGTCCGCTGACAAGGACGGGGACAAGTTTTGTTATTGTGTTCGGGCGAATATCGAATAATATTTCATCGAATAAACTGCGGGTGAAAAAGAGAGAAACGCGAAACGGTTATTCGTTCGAGGCGCGCGATACATCAAACTTGATTCCGTAACGAATTATATGCAACGTTTTATCGCGAATGGGACATGGCGATTATCTTATTGCGCGCGCGAGTCGGCTAAAAAAGGGGGATTAAAAATGTTTTCATTTCCACCATATTTTCGACACGCACGACGTGATTGAATGTCGCCCAAACTGACGTGTCGGCGCAAAAAAGGGGGAGGGGGCAAAAAACAAAATACTAATGACACGAGAACTCGATATTGGCTCTTGAGCTGCCGCCGGGGCAAATCCAATCTGGTCCACTTGGTATTTTTCTGCGGGACAAAGCAATCGAAATGGATCACATAGAAAATAGAATCCATCGAGGCATTGATCAAACGGGATAGAACAATGTACGCCGGGATTTCGCAAAAACTTCCAGCGCACTCGCCGATTTGGCGGGCAACGAGAGCGCGGATGAAAAGAGGTAAAGGAGGGTGCACAGGAGGGAGAGAGACAGAGAGAGAGAGAGAGAGAGAGTAGGGTGGGTAGAAGAGAGAAAGAGACGTAAAGTGCGCGCTGGATCGCGCCATTATCAATCCTGATGTATTGTCCTGTCAGGACAGAGTCAACGGCGCTGACATGACCCAGATGAAATCGAGGGCTCTCGTGGAAAACGCAGGAAAACACGTGGCGATATTCAGACTACACTCCGGATATTTATAGTCAACGGGGACGAAATCGAGGGTAGCGCGGGGTGCGCGTTCTCACGTGTGAATGAAAATTCGCGGAGTCTCCTGACTTAATTTGTGGCTCCTCTTTTTTCTTCTCTTTCTCTCCCCTCTCCTCTTTTCTCGTTCTTCCTTCACCACGGGGTATATTTCATGACCGCGTGCGAGCGCGCGCACACACACACACACACACACACACACATACATGCGCGCACGGACACAGATGTCGGGAAAAACACTCACGAGTAAGATCACTCGCTCGCCTGGCACATGATATCGCGTAATGAGAGTTACAGGTTAGTTGGTTAGTTAGTTAACTCGCACAATTAAAGGATTCGCACGGTTTCTCACCTTGTCTCTAATCTCCTGTCGCATCTTCTCTCGTTCCTCCTCCATTTTACGGTGCTTCTCCTTCCTTCTCTCTTCGGCCTCCCTAATAGCCTCCTGTCTCTCCCTCTCGGCCTCCTCCTCCTTCTCCTTGTCATCCTCGTCGCCTCCTTCGCCACCTACCGCTCCTGCGAAGCACAAGAGAGGAAAACGAAATTTGTATGTCTTCCATACTCATGTCCGGATCTCTTTGCCGCAACATGCGTCGACTTGTACTACACACACGACTGCTGGTATATCTACACACAGTTTCGTCTACATTTATTCAGCGTTCTGAAATTCAAAGATTTATCTCTCTCGCGGAGAATTTAATAATACCGCTCTACGAGAGACTGACTATGTTGTTGCTAACGTTTATGAGACAGACAAAGCGGCGGGGAAAGAGCGAGATTTTGGAAGAGATGAGGTATAAAGGGGTGGAAAGGGGACGAGGGATGATGCGAAGGAATTTCTGGGCTTCGAGGAAATTAATACTACTTCTATCCCGGTGCCAATTCGCCAACCCGCCCCCCTCTCCCTCTCTCTCTCTCTCTCTCTCTCTCTCTCTCTCTCTCTCTCTCTTCCTCGCTCATCCTTGCTCAGCCATCCATTTCACCCTCCCTCTTATCCATTGCCTTGGTGTTCGCGTATTTGCACTGCTTTCCGCGAGTTGGAAAGATACTTTGAAGTCCGACGCCCGACGCCCATCTTTTTGTTTCAATTTTGTTCAGCCGCTCTTTCGTCGCCAACTAACTCCGGGACTTTGAGGAGCGCTGCGTACAAAGTGCGGCGGGAAAATAAGCGGATCCGCCGTATACTCTAGGCAATATCCCCTTTCTCGATAAAATATAGAGACAAATGAAATTATGAGAGGAAGAAGTATCCGATTTATCGCGTGCAAAAGTCGTCGGAGCTGTGTACGCCCGGCGTCGTCCTCGTATCGTCCTCGTATCGATCTCGTTAATCCGACCTGGACGCGAGATACCCGATGCAGGATCGGCGGCTGAATTTTTTACCGGATCAAGAGGAAAAAGTGTCGCGTGAGAGCCGACGGAGGAAGAGAGAGAGAGAGAGAGAGAGAGAGAGGGAGGGAGGGAGGGAGGGAGGGAGGGAGGGAGAGAGAGAGGAGGGGGGAGAGGTGTCGGGTTTGAATTTCTTAGTGGAATTTCCCGCTGAGCTGAGCAGTCACATTGCGAAGGTGCGCGGCGGCATATTTGAAATTCGCCCACGGAGCGATTTAAAACGCGTTTTGTCCCTGAAAAAGATTAATAACGGAATTCCTGCGGCTTCGCCCTCGCCGTGTCCGGCGAGGTTGTCCGGACAAATTTTATTTGGCAAAATGAATTTCTCCGGCGGTTATCTGAGAATTTCGCGATATCGCCGAGTGATGAGGCGCCACTTTGGTGCGGCCTGCTGGAATTCTCTCTGATAAATTCGGCCAAGTCCTCGTAACGATATCGATAGGGCGATCGCGGACAGCTCGCATCTCTGCATATCCTTCGTACGTACGTGCGTACGCTTCGCTAAAGCCTCAACAGTCGCCATGCGAAAAATCATTAATCTTTCTACTCGTTGCCGACGCGTATCTGGATGTATCATGTGATACAGCAAACCCCGTTGAAATGGTATATCCGATTGAATAATCAAGCATCATTCATAATGCATATGTGCATCTAGATACATCTGATTAATTTTGACCAAGTTAATCGACGATTCATTTAACTGGTGCGGGCTCCGACATGGAAAATAAAGGACAGCTTGTTGTCGAAGCGAGAGAAACAGGACGAGAGAGAGAGAGAGAGAGAGAGAAAGAGAGAGAGAGAGAGAGAGGAAGACTTTCTTGTCTTTTCTTGGCTATATTTAAAATTGCCATCGATCAACGCTATCGGCTGCTTCCCCCCTCCGCGAGATATACACAGCCTTATCAATTTCATGCGCTTATCATTGAACGACAGAATTACATAGCCGTAAATTATTGTCGATCCCGCCGGTTAATCATCGATTATTGATTCAGTACAAGTTTCCGCGGAAGTCACCCTCAGGATGCACTCGTACCCCTGCCCCCCCTCTCCCGTACTTCGCGTCCGCTGGTTCGCTGTGTCCCGTCGCACGAGAAGCGAGTTTCAATTTTTATAAAAGCCCTCATACAATTTTATTCTCACGAGAGAAACACCAGCTGCGTTCGCCATTAGTCGCCAGCTAAGCTTTGCTGCCGGACGACGCCGCCGCCTTCGCCGCCGCCGCCGCAGCGAACGGAAACCGAAGTCGAAGGGCTACGTGCTTTAGTTTAGTCCCGTAGTAGACACTCTGCAGTTTTCGCGGAAACCACGTCCCGAAGTTGCCGCCGCGGCACGAGAAGAACTCTCGCGCAGCATCCTAAAAAGTCAGCAGCACTCGGCGCAGCCGGCACTCGGTAATGGCCAGCTCGCGACTGCACCAGCATCGGCGCCGGAATCCAATGCGGAATTGTTCTCCGCATGTTCGAATTCCAATCTTTCCAACCTCCTCCCCGCACCGCTCCCCGTATACCAGCCGTCACCGTATACCGGCTATCTGCGTTACGTCAACGTGCCCATTCCCGCATCATTTCATTCACGCGCGACTTTACCTCGCTTATCGCTTTCATTTCCACACACGCACACAAATACAGAACGCGGGCGAGAGCGAAGGACAGATCGAATGACGAAAACTGATTGAATCCGCGTCGTATTATCGTCCGCTCGACTTTATCATTGACCGTGCGGGGATACTCTCCTCTCGTCTAGAGAGAAAGAGAGAGAGAGAGCTCCCTCTTCTCACTCTCTCTTACGCCGAGCCATTCGCATGCAAACGAATAATCCGCCCATTTCAGACGGTTGTCCGATTTTTTTTTGCCCTCTTTTTATCTCCCTCCCCTTTTTCCTACCCGAGCCAAGTGGTGAAACAGCCAATACGATCGAGAAACGCGGATGAGGTGACCATATCGATGCGACGGAGCGGCGACGGCTCGTTTGAAATCGCAGTAAACTCATTTTGCAGCGCAACATCTGCGCGCGCGCGACGATGATTGGACGGCGGATTGTTCGATGAAGCGGCGATTGCCGTTAGCATCCGATGGAACGGGGCTACGAGGCAAAGGGAAAAGGGCCGACTTTCTCTTGCGCGCGCGGCATGTCACTTGCGCTCGTGCTGAAATAAAGTAGTTTCGTCCTCGGCCAGAGAAAGAGAGACTGGTTAAAATGCAGATCCTGCTCGTACCAGCCAACCAACCAACCAACCAACCAACCAACCGACTGACTGACTGACTGACTGACTGACAGACTGATATACCTTCTTTTTGAAGTCAATCTTCGGATGACGTGGAGTTTCAACGGAATCGGATCATCGAAGATGAAAAACACAGGCTGGCCTGCGGATCGTGCAAACTAGCGAGCGTGATAAGAGATGGGGATTATATGAATCGCGAAAATATCGCGATTGAGTGAAAAAAGCCAGGATCCAGCCGTCCGTTCACCGGAACGCGCGCGACTGGAATGTTCATTTCTGTATAAATTTCTTTCTGCTCCCGGATACCGCACGCGAGGCGAGTATTAATCAAAATTTTTTTTGCGAATTTTTGTCAAAATCACCGATGGGATCGGGCGAGTCGGATTATTTTGATAACGAACATTTCGAGCGCTTCGGCCGGGCAGCTAAGTTTCAGCGAAGGTGCTGATCTGAGCTGGTGACGTCAATTCCGGCTACCTGGCTTACAGAAACAGCAAGCCGGGTTATACCGATTATAGCGCCAGTGCGAGGGAATCGCATATACGACGTACAAATTGGGGCGGATATAAGTCGAGTGACGAGTCGCAGTCGCAGTCGCAGTCGGAATTCTAAATCAGTGGAGCGCGTTCCGGCGGATCTAGAGAAGTAAAAAAAAGAAGAAAAAAAAGAAAAAAAAATAAGGAGAAATCAGAAAAGGGAAGATTTTTCTGGCGGATTGTCGCGTACGTAATCCGTCGCGACGACGTTGCGAGTTCGTTGAGAGATGCTCCCCTATTTTTTTTCCTCCCTCTTTCCCCTTCCCACTTTTCTTTTTCCCGTCACCAACGCTAATTTGTTTAACGCTCAAACGGACATTTTAATTCCGCGGCCGTTTGTAATAGAGATCGTCGCGCGAGTTCGCGCGAGATGTAGATCCAATTAGATAGCAATGACAATGCCGGACAGAGCGAATGCTCGTGACACACTGGAGGGCGGCAGCGCGGGTGAGAGGGCGGAGGCAGGGGGGCCGCAGGTGTTCCCAACGACCAGTCTCCGTGTCCGGAAATGTATTTACTAGTAGCGATCGGGCGGAATTCACTCGCGGTCCTGGGACGGACTGTGTAACGCGCGTTACATCGAACACGTTCCCAACAATCGCCATCGTACTTCTATTATTGATCGACGTGAATTCTTTAGCGGCACGCTACCTGACCATCCGGCGATGCCTATTTTATGGATCAATCGCTGACGAGCAAGCTTTAAGCCGTACGAACGGCGGGGATTATCAATTAAGCAAGACGCGCTCGCTCAAACAGACTCGTAATGCAAATAATTCGGTCTTAATGGCGCTTCCTTGCGAAAACTTACGCGGCTGTGTGTAATCAGGTCGACGGACTTGGCGGCACCTATAGGAACATCAAGCCGCTCGGCTCTAACCAAAGCGAAACGATTTTAATTCAGACGTATGGCGTTTCGGGCGCATACGTACATACGTGTGTGTGTGTGTGTGTGTGTGTGTGTGTGTGTACACGTGTGTACGTGTGCGCTTAATAAACGGCACACGCTCACACAACTGCGTGCAAGTAATGCCTTTCGTTATTTTCCTTCACGCGAGCTTATATTTGGTACATTCGCGGTTTATAGAGCGCCACGATAGCATCTCTTTTATTATACACCCCTTCGGCTCAAGGATGTTTCGCCTGGCGTGCAAGTAATGCATGTACGAGTGCACTTGTAATTCCGGAACCGTTCTATACATGTTTGACGCTTTATCGAGCGTGGATCGACTGCCTTCCCTTTCCTTTGCCCTCCTCCTCTCTCTCTCTCTCTCTCTCTCTCTCTCTCTCTCCCTCTCTCTCTCTCTTTCTCTCGGCCGCGTAATAAAGACCTGCTCGTTACAAGTGCACGCCGTGAATTTAGAATA